TCTTGATGCTTCTCATTTAACTCACCTGATAGACAGAAGCAGCATACAGTCAACTTCTCCTTCCTTCTCAGCATTGTTCCGCCTGAAAAATCTCTAGGTGATGAATATTTTCAATGATCAGAAGCACCATTTATTACTCTAGAAAACCTCTAAATGGCCCAGTCCTTGTTTAAGTATAATATCCAGCACAAGAACTCTTTATGACTACCTGTAGTCCTTAAGTCTGCTGATTGGCAAATAAATGCTATTTTATTTAGCATATGGGCGGGGCTTAAAGTGTCTGATGTGGGGATCCTTCATGACCACGCTCGCTAATGCCCGGGGACACAGGAACAGGGACCACGGAACAAATGCAGGCTAAATTGTGACAATGACACTGTACACCTTATCTTCCTGAATGCAGCATTTTGAGGGGGGCACTGCAGAGCCTGTGTTGTGCTTTACTAGCACAACCATGATTGCCACTTCACTTCCAGCAACAATGTGCGAATTCAACCATTCATACAGTGCAGACCTCTGTTGCAAATGAACTGACATTTTAGTGGATCCACTTCTTGTTCTCTCTTTTTTTCTGTACCTCCAGGCTAGGTGTATAGGTTCCCTGTGCTGTGATGTCAGTCCTGAGTATGGGATACCAGTCACTAAGGAGGCAGTCAGCTCACCATCCCACTCACTACCAGGATTTCTGTCTCCCATGCCATGTACCAAGTTCCTGCTGGCTGGCTGCTATAACATTCTCCACCACTTATTATTTATACTTTTATTATTATACAGGATTTATATAGCACCAACAGTTTGCTCAGCGCTTTACAATATAACGGAAGACAATACAGCAACAATACAGTTCAATACAAGAGGGAAAGGAGGGCCCTGCTCCTTGGAGCTTACAATCTAGGAGGGAGGGGCTAGTGGTACAAAAGGTAGTAACTGTGGGGGATGGACTGATTGAAAGTGTAGAAGATTCCATTATTAGCTGAGGGCAGGAGAGGCTTCCCTGAAGAGATAGGTTTTCAGAGATCGCCTAAAAGTGAGCAGTGTAGGCAATAGTCTGATAGATAGGGGTAGAGAGTTCCAGAGGATGGGGGAAGCTCTGGAAAAGTCCTAGAGACGAGCGTGGGAGGAGGAGACAAGGGAGCTAGAGAGACAAGATTGGTGATGTAATTTGGGCAGAGATATAAATGGCTTTATACGTTATTGTTAATGTTTTGAATTTTATCAGTTGGGCAATGGGAAGCCAGTGGAGGGATTGGCAGAGAGGGGTGGCAGATACAGAATGGTTAGTAAGGTGGATAAGTCTGGCAGCAGCATTCATGATAGACTGAAGAGGGGATAGCCTGTGATTAGGTAGGCCACTGAGGAGGGAGTTGCAATAGTCAAGGCGAGATATAACAAGGGAGTGAATAAGTTGCTTAGTGGTTTCCGAGGTTAGGAAACGGGCGTATCTTGGAGATGTTGCGGAGGTGAAGTCTACAAGATTTGGACAGTGATTGGATTTGGGGGTGAAAGGACAGATGGGAGTCTAGGATTACAACTAGTACCCTGGCATGAGGGGAGGGACTGATGATTGTGTTATTGATCTTGATGGAGAAGTCAGGGAAGGGGGCACGGGCTGGGGGGAATACTAAGAGCTCAGTTTTGGAAAGATTGAGTTTGAGAAAGTGGAGTGACATCCATGCCGATATGTCGCTTAGTAGGTTAGTAATGCGAGAGGAGACTGATGTGGTGAGGTGAGGGGTAGAAAGATAGATTTGTGTGTCATCAGCATAGAGATGGTACTTAAAGCCATGGAAGTTTATCAAGTGACCAAGGGAGGAGGTGTAGATGGGGAAGAGAAGGGGTCCAAGGACAGAACCTTGAGGGACCCCATACAGAAAGAGGAGGAGGTAGCATTATAGGTAACGCTGAAGGAGCGCAGCGATAGATAGGAGGAAAACCAGGAGAGAGCGGAGTCTCTGAGACCAAGAGAGTGGTGTTTTTTGAGGAGGAGGGGATGGTCAACCGTATCAAAAGCCACAGAGAGGTCAAGTAGTAAGAGTACGGAGTAGTGGCCATTGGTTTTAGCAGTTAGTAGATCATTAGTGAGTTTTAGTAGGGCAGTTTCAATGGAGTGTAGTGAGCGAAAGCCAGACTGTAAAGGGTCAAGAAGGTTGTTGTCGGTGAGGTGGGAGCTCAGGCAATTGTAGACTAAGCGTTCTAGGAGTTTAGAGGTGATGGTTACTCATGCAATGGCATGCTAGCCATACCACCAAATCGTTTTTATGGTTAACCCTTTTATGGTGGCCCTCTCTCCTCCCTTCTTCATTTGAAGTTTGTTGTACAAGCTCTTGTTCTTTGGATAACAACATTACATGCAACCCCTGTGTAAGAATGTCAGACCAGGAACTTTAAGGGTAATTTAGACATTACTGAGGAGCAATAGGTTATTACAGTACACAGTCTTTACAGTTAATTCTTCACAACTCTAGCTCTATTCCCTATTCAGGCTGTTTCCTAACCAGGCTGCCATCTCACATCTCAGAGTAGTGCAAGTCCATAAAGTCCTTAGACCTGCAATATCATCCCGACTCCTTCCCATGTGGAGGCAAAGACCCAAGACTCCAGCTCCCCTCCTCCTCCTATTGCGCTCTGACAAAGGTTACCTCCCCTTGTATTTTTGGCCTACCAAAACACTTAAAAGTAGGCTAGCTTAGCTCTTTCCTAACTTTTGGGCAGCCTGCTGACTCAGTACACCTTTCATATATCAAGTACACACACTAATAGGTTATAATGGTGACCCAAAATAAAACAAAACTTTATTTTGTACACAACCCCTGATGTAACCTGCTTACAAGCTAGGTGGTGCAAACTTTGATAGCCCATGCCATCAATCAAATTTACTATAATTATAGCCTAACAAGATGGTTAAAAAGAGATTTGTAGAGGGCATTTACACTCTAAATGTACCCAGGCACAAAAAAGGGGTGCACTGGTTAACCTGCCAAAAATAATAATAGGCATGGAATGATAAACGACATAAAGAGAGTCTAAAAAGACTAAAAAGTCCTTAATAAAAGTCCAAATGAAAACATACTGCATAAATATGCACTGACATTGACAAGATATTAAAAAGTGTATCAATAAGTCTCCTTCCAAGTGGTCAATGGTGTGAAAGCCCCTCTGAGTGGATGTGATGTAGGGTGCTTAGAACCAGGAAGTTAACCAGGGGAACACCAGAAAGAGCCAACAAAAGCAGCAGACTCTGTGTGTGTGTATACCACGCAAATGAGAACCACTGTGGACAGCAGGGAAGTGTTTTCTTTTCCTTTTTTTTTTTTTATACACAGTATTTTTATTGCTGTGCACTGTCTGGATTGAATTAATTTTTTTTGTTAGATTCATTTAAAGATGAGAAATATACAGTATGGTGTGAATGTACCAGGTAAAAGCTAAAACAACAAATTATTGTGCAAAAAGGGGGAACTATTCATTACGCTTCACAAGATTTTGGAACAAGTAACATATTGTATATTGAGCCTGTGTAATGAATGCTCCATGACCCATGATAGATTCAATTCAACATTTGTTGTAGCTAAAGCAGCAATAATGTAGAACCTTTCTCAGGCAGTGGTATCAGCGGGAGTGTTGACATTAGAGATGAGCGAATTATTCAAAAATTCGGTTCGGCTGATTTGCCGAATTCGCCGAATAAATTCGCTTCGAGCCGAATATATTCTCTGCGAATTTAACTTATAAAAAGGGTGTTTCTAGGCTTCAGAGAGCCTTTATATTAGTGCAGAACACTGTACCTTTAATTTAAATGCTCTTGGAGTCTGCTGGGGAAGAGAAATAATACTGTCAGTCAGTATGACATGCAGATGAGTGCCGTCGATCTTAGAATCACCGCACACTTCACTCATTTGGGCAGTCACGGGGCCAAAACCAGAGTGTGGAGCTACAGTGTGGCGGTGGAGGCAGCAGCAATGGGAGGCCATACAGCACCCTATGACAAAATGGAACCCACCAGCAGTGTGAGGAGACCTGAAAGTGCCACATGGCAGAGTGTGGCGATGGAGACAGCAGCAATGGAAGGCCGTACAGGGACCCATGACACACTCTGGACCTGGCAGCAGCATGAGGAGGCGGTACAGGGGCCCATGACAGATTACGGGCCTGGCAGCAGCATGAGGAGTCGGTACGGGGGCCCATGGCAGATTACGGGCCTGGCAGCAGCATGAGGAGGCGGTACAGGGGCCCATGGCAGAGTGGCGGAGCGTAAGCAGCTAAAATTGAAGGCCATACAGAGGCCTATGTTAAAAAGTCCCCCCAGCAGCAGCGTGGGGAGACGACTATCAAGAGTCCAATGGCAGAGTGGCGGAGCAGAAGCAGCTTCAATTGAAGGCCATACACAGGCCTAGGTTTAAAAGGCCCTCACAGTTAATTCCAATAACGAACTCTACTCCTCCGTGCAATCTACTTACGAGACCCTGGGCAGGTCTGGGTCCAATTTGTGGTAGAGACTGGTTTTGTTCAGCCATGCTTGAGCGAGTAATAACAGGTCTGTGCTGCCCTTTGGTGTCTGGCTTAATGCGCACAACACTGAACGTCCCAGCGTTTGTCAACGATTTGCCGTTAAGTGATGCAAACCCGCTGAACCACGTTCATGAGGAGCCGGTACAGGGGGCCATGAATCAGTATGGACCTGGCAGCAGCGTGAGCAGACGACAGAGGCACATGGCGCAGGGTGGCGGTGTAGGCAGCATTATTCTGAAGCCATACACAGGCCTAGGTTAAAAAGCGGAAGCCATCAGCAGCGTGAGCAGACAACAGAGACACATGGCGCAGGTGGGCGGTGGATGCAGCAGTATTCGGAAGCCAAACACAGGCCTCGGTTAAAAAGCGGAAGCCGTCAGCAGCGTGAGCAGACGACAGAGGCACATGGCGCAGGGTGGCGGTGGAGGCAGCAGCAATGGAAGGCCATACATCACACTATCACAAAATGGAACCCACCAACACTGTAAGGAGACCTGAAAGTGGCACATGGCAGAGTCTGGCGATGAAGTCGTCAGCAGCAATGGGAGGCCGTACAGGGACCCATGACACACTCTGGACCTGGCAGCAGCAGCAAGCAGGAGGAGGCGGTACAGGGGCCCATGGCAGAGTGGCGAAGCGTAAGCAGCTTAAATTGAAGGCCATACAGAGGCTTATGTTAAAAAGTCCCCCCAGCAGCAGTGTGGGGAGACGACTATCAAGAGTCCAATGGCAGAGTGGGGGAGCAGAAGCAGCTTCAATTGAAGGCCATACACAGGCCTAGGTTAAAAAGTCCCCCCAGCAGCAGCGTGGGGAGACGACTATCAAGAGTCCAATGGCAGAGTGGCGGAGCGGAAGCAGCTTCAATTGAAGGCCATACACAGGCCTAGGTTAAAAAAAGTCCCCCCAGCAGCAGTGTGGGGAAACGACTATCAAGAGTCCAATGGCTGAGTGGCGATCCCGGGAAGTCAGCGTTGTGATTGCAGATGCAATGCAGAGATTCTATGAGGTGATGCCGTGGGTGCGAAAAAGATCATATACCGTCGTACTTCCATCCATAAGACGGAACAACCTGCGAACCGGGAGCTTTATTGCCCTGACCCGCTGAGCAGCTTCTGGGATACCCAAGAGGCCCATGGCAGAGTGGGGAGCATAAGTTGAAGCCCCCCCCAACCCCCACCCAGGCCCAGATTGTGGCGGATGGAAGGCCAATACAGATGGCCCTATCAATGTTAAAAAGCAGCATCAATTCGGAAGGCCATACACAGGCAGCAGTCCCCGAGATCAGCAGGGGAGACGACGACAGCAATCAAGAGTGCCAATGGCAGAGTGGCGTGAGCAGGAAAGCATGGCAGAGGGTAGGCTTCAATTGAAGGCCACAGGCCTAGGTTACCCCCCCAGGTGGGCTTATCCCTAGAGACACATGGCGCAAGTTGGTGAGAGCAAAGGCCAAAGTACCCCCAGCAGCAGGAGCCAGCCAGCCATGGGGAGACGACTATCAAGAGTCCAATGGCAGATGGTGTGGGGAAGCAGTATTCGGGTCATACCCAGGCCTCGTTAAAGGGGGCCCCCCGCCGCATCACTGTGTGCATACATCATCAAGATCCAGCATGGGAAGTCAGCGTTTCAGCATGTGATTGCAGATGCAATGCAGAAATTTTATGAGGTAATGCCGTGGGTGCGAAGAAGATCATATACCGTCGTACTTCCATCCATAAGACGGAACAACCTGCGAACCGGGAGCTTTATTGCCCTGACCCGCTGAGCAGCTTCTGGGATACCCAAGAGTGTTTGGCTTCTGTGGGGAATATGGTTGAAAACTGAAACTTAAAGGCATGTTGACGGAAGGGCACCAGTGTCAGTGCTCCGGAGGGAATATAGCTTCAAAGCTGACACTTAAAGGTATATCGACGGTCAGAGACCACAGGAAGTGGAGCTTGCGTCTTAAATCGACTGAATGTGGCAGACGTGAAACGTCTACGGGCCGTATATGAAACGGGTTGTTCCTCTTTCTGGAATAAGTGTTGGAAATGGCCACTCTTTTTGGTGTGGCGTTTTGTCTATTTAATTCCGATATAACGGACTCTACTCTCCTCCGTGCAATCTAGTTACGAGACCCTGGGCAGGTCTGGGTCCAATTTGTGGTAGAGACTGGTTTTGTTCAGCCATGCTTGAGCGAGTAATAACAGGTCTGTGCTGCCCTTTGGTGTCTGGCTTAATGCGCACAACACTGAAACGTCCCAGCATTTGTCAACGATTTGCCGTTAAGTGATGCAAACCCGCTGAACCACGTTCATGAGGAGCCGGTACAGGGGGCCATGAATCAGTATGGACCTGGCAGCAGTGTGAGGAGACCCGAAAGTGGCACATGGCGCAGGGTGGCGGTGGAGGCAGCAGTATTCGGAAGACATACACAGGACTAGTTTAAAAAGCGGAAGCCGTCAGCAGCGTGAGCAGACGACAGAGGCACATGGCGCAGGGTGGCGGTGGAGGCAGCAGTATTCGGAAGCCATACACAGGCCTAGGTTAAAAAGCGGAAGCCGTCAGCAGCGTGAGCAGGACTGACAGAGGCACATGGCGCAGGGTGGCGGTGGAGGCAGCAGTATTCGGAAGCCATACACAGGCCTAGGTTTAAAACTGGAACCCAGCAGCGTGAGCAGACGACAAAGACGCACATGGCAGAGGATGGATCTGGCAGCAGTATATGAGAAGGCGGTACAGGGGCCCGTGGCACAGTGTGGTGATGGGGGCTACAGCAACTGGATGCCAGAAAGTGGCCGATAGGGCTATATACTGCATGGAATTATAAAGTTGTAAAGACAGCGGCCTATAAGGCTATACACACTATAACAATCATGACTTGATTGACCATTGGCCTATAAGGCTATACACAGCATGAATATCATGACTTATTCTGAGAGTGGTTTGGAAGGCTATATACAAAAAGTAATTCATGAGCTGTCCGGACAGCGGACAATAAGTACATATATACAAATCAATTCATCAGCTGTCCAGCCAGCGGCCTCAAAGGCGACACATATAGAAAGCAATTCATGAGCTGTTCAGACAGCGGCCTCTAAGGCGACAGATATACAAAGCAATTCCCGAGGTGTTCAGGGAGCGGCCTGAACGGCTAGGTTATTACTAAATATATTTTTGTGGCCAAACATCGGCCTATAAATAGATGTCTACACAGTGACAAAAAATTATGTCGCCAGACAGCGGCCCCTAAGGCGACAGATATACAAAGCAATTCCCGCGAGCGCACAGGGCCCACAGTGTCTGAGGATGGACGTTGGCGCAGAAAGGCAGAGACCAACTGACTACATAGGTGGTTTTTATAGTACTTTATTTTGGCCTCCCTCTCAGCAGGTGTGAAAAAGGCCACCATTTTTGAACGGTAGCGAGGGTCCAACAAGGTGGACAGCCAAAAGTCATCCCTCTGTCTGATGGTTATTATTCGGCTGTCGCTACGCAAGCAACCGAGCATGCTATGGGCCATTTGTGCCAAGGAATGCGAGGGACTATCCCTGCCTCCATCTCCACAGCATACTGCCACGGTGCGTCTGGGTCCTCTGTCTCCTCCTCCTCCTCTACCAGATGCTCCTGCTCCTCCACTCCTGTCCGCTGAGTGGAAAAAAACCACCCATTTCACTCAATAATTCCTGAGCACCAATGTCCTCCTCTACCTCCTCCTCTTCTTCCTGTCCTGCCCCCACAGGGGTCATGTGGCGTTGAGATCTGTGCGCCACGTCTACCGCACCCTGACCAGCCATTGTTAACAGCATTTGTTCCAGGACGTGCAACAGAGGAATGACGTCGTTCATCCCATAGTCCTGCCGACTCACGAATAGCGTGGCCTCCTCAAAGGGCCTGAGCAAGCGGCAGGTGTCACGCATGAGCTGCCAATGGCTGACATCTAAGTTACACAGGGGAGTACCTTTATCCGCTTGTAACATCAGGAAATCGGTGATGGCCTTTCGCTGTTCGTAAAGGCGGTCTAACATATGTAGGGTTGAATTCCACCTTGTTGCAACGTCGCAGATCAGGCGATGCTGTGGAATTCCGTTCTGCCGCTGCAGCTCAAGGAGGGTGTGTGCTTTGCGGTGTAGGAATGGCTGAAATGCATGCAAAGTTTACGTGACATTTTAAGGATGTCTTGCAGTGGGATGGTGGATTTTAGGAACCGCTTGACAACCAGATTGAACACGTGAGCCATGCATGGCGCATGGCACAACCTTCCTTGACGCAGAGCAGACACCATGTTCTTTCCGTTGTCGGTCAACATGGTTCCGATTTTCAGTTTGCGCGGAGACAGCCATCTGTCGATTTCTCTGTTCATTACACTCAGAAGTTCCTCCCCTGTGTGACTACGTTCGCCAAGGCATACCAGGTGCAGCACAGCGTGACACCGTTGCGCCCTGCACATGTGATATGCCGGTCGGGTAATGGGACTTGGCACACCGGGGGGTGGCGGCTGAGGACACGGCGGAAGAAGAGGTGGTAGAGGCGGACATCTTTGCTGGACCAAGGACGTGCAAACGTGGAGGCAAAAGCGGGCGTGACCTGTCCAAGTTGCTGGTGCGGCTGTGCCGGCACCACGTTCACCCAGTGGGCCGTAAATGACATGTACTGTCCCTGACCGTAGTTACAGCTCCACACGTCGGCGCTGCCGTGCACTTTGGCAGAGACCGACATGCTCAAAGACTGGCCCACCATCTCTTCTACATGTGAATGCAGGGCTGGCACTGCCTTTTTGGCGAAGAAATGCCGGCTTGGCACTCTCCACCGCGGCTCGGCACAAGCCATCATTTCTC